TTTCATTTACTAGCAGTAGTATTTTATAAACCATAGAAGCAAATTTCACATACATGAACAAATAATATTAATGCCGTGACAACAAGAAGACAAACCAAAGTCTTCTCGTAGGGTGGCGGCTTCGCCGCCACCAAAAAATTGTATTTCATACCTGGCTACGCCGACCGGCATAAACACCAACGGCCTGGACACAGCTCACCTACTCTGTCAAAAGGAGACCGATGTACAAATAAAACGCGTATTATTATACTGACCATTTATTATTTTCACCGACCATTTAATATTATACTGACCATTTATTATTTTTACTGACCATTTATTATTTTTACTGACCATTTATTATTTTTACTGACCATTTATTATTTTTACTGACCATTTATTATTTTTACTGATCATTTATTATTTTTACTGACCATTTATTATTGTTACTGACCATTTATTATTTTTGCTGACCATTTATTATTTTTACTGACCATTTATTATTTTTACCGACCATTTATTATTATACTGACCATTTAATATTTTCACCGACCATTTAATATTATACTGACCATTTATTATTTTCCCTGACCATTTATTATCTTACTGACCAACTGAAATAAAATAATGGAAAAGTGTACTTGCCATAAAATTTAAATAATGATCATTTAATTTGTGCCGAAAAATTTTTATGGATAAAGGAACAGTTTTGATGAATGTTGGGTGGTGGCATCGATGAATATTAGAAAACACCTGTTGCTACGCAGCGATTGAGCTCTCAACGATGACGTTTTAAAAAAGCCTATATAGGAAATGCTATCATAGAAGCGCAAACTTAAAAGTTTCAGATATTATTTACATCAAAAGTTATAGTAGAAAAAAGTTTCTTGAAATTAGGCTCACAGTACCTTTTTTTGTTTACTGTTAGGGCATTTTAGCGCTAGATCAATTGCAACAAAGTATTTTTATCTTCTACAGGGTAAGAATTAATAATAGATTTATAATTTAGCCTTCTGCAAATGTGTACTAAAAAAGTTTCACTGGATCCCTACTATATTAGAATCGATGACAGTTGATTAAAGTACGATGACATGGGGTAATCGTCGTAGCCAACCCAACAGTTGTAAGGCGAGGATAAGAAAGAGATAGCAGAAAGTGTTTAGAAAATTACTAGCGCTTTTTTAAAAACATCCACAAACGTAAAATAAGACGATAGAACAAAAATACAAACCAATGAAGTAATTTACGAATTACGAGAAGAAAACACAAATTATTTAAAAATATTAGGCTCCGTTGTAGTTATTCTATAGGGTGAATTTAGGCGTGAAATTTCATCAAAATGGTTTTTCAATACCAATTCTCTTCCAAATGCTTAATTAAAAGGATAAATCAATGTTTTCTTGTCAAAATAAACACCATTATTAATTGTTTCGACGTAATAAGATTGAAAATTCCGATGCGTTCTTTTACACCATTCACCATACCTTTTTTTTAATGAAGGGGGGATATGGACAAACCACTCGAGTTGTACAGTATATGTTTTCTATAACCCACTTACGAAAATCTACATATTTTAAAAAATTATTTTAGGTTATCAAGACAAAATAACTATTTTTAAAATAATTTATAAATTTTAATAATTTATAAATAAAAATAAACACAAAAAAAAGATTTAATTTAATTAGTCCCCAGCCCAGATTCGAATCCGAGCGTGGAAGGCCTCACCTCTATCGCAACTTTTATTATTTTGGTTTTAATGCTCGTAATTAAATTAGTTTCATATAGTTTGATTAAAATTTATTTCTTTTTTCAAAATGTGGGTCAAATAAAAATAAAAATGCTATTATTTATCGATTCTACACAAAAATAACTCATTTTAATATATTTTGAATCTCAATAACTAAAAAATATACTGACAATTAGTTTGACAGAATTGTCAAATTTTAAAACTAATAAAGTTAGGTGTCCAAAATATGAACTGTGTTTAGTGTATTTAATTTTTTTGCAGTTTTCTCACTACGTAGAATGGATATGAAATACAGTGCTTATTTGTTCGTGTTAGGCATACGACTAGTATACAAGTTAATAAAATGGCAACACTGCAATAGCCAGTCGTCGCGGTCGACTAGAATTACGGTTGCCACCTTTTTGAAAAGTGAAAAAAGGACTGCGATGCTGACAGGGGCTCTGGTATATAAAAAGCAAAAAAGTCATCATTCATCCATCTGTGAACTTCTAAAAAAAGCATCGAACTAAACCAAAAAAATCATCCTCTTCTAGTCGAGCTTCTAAAAAAAAAGTCTTCGACTGGAAAAAAAAAGTCTTCAGCTGAAAAAAAACCTCCTCGTCTTGTTGAGCTTCTACAAAAAAAAGGACGTCGGCTGAAAAAAAGAAACTATCTAAACAACTCGTCTTGTTAGGCTTCTAAAAAAAGGCCTTCAGCGTATAGTTCTCTACAAACCATGTCCCCTTCCAAAAATGTATGCTGTCGTTCAATCATAATATAGTAAAAGAGGACATTTGCCGTAAACAGAACATTTTAAGCTTTAAAAAGTCGCAAAGACATTTTGCTTTAAAAAAGGACAGGTGGCAACCCTAACTAGAATTAGAAGATATTATGGTGGTGGGATGTTAGCCGAGCCGAGAACAGCGATAGCGGGGATATCGTAGCATGGCTATGCCTAATACAAAATAATAAGTACTGTATATTCGTTCAGTTGAACGCAATAGCATACTTTTTCGTTTTGTAGTCTGTGCGCAGATAATCTAATATCCATGTGGGTGTAGAAAAACGTTTTTAAAAGCTTACTATATGATTGACAGTGACAATGTTGAACAGATAGAGGCTGTTAATAAACATACAGCTGCTCTAGAAAGTTTAGTTCAGTCTCTTTTAAAAAGTAAGAAAATTAATATTGCTATTATAAATATCGAACCACCAAATAAAAAAAAATAAAACTCAAAGATTATTTTCAACAAAGAAAAAAAATGTAAATCCACAAAAAATGTTCCAAAAAAGTCTACTGAGGTAGAAACGCAGATACTATTTTTAAATATTGGAGGAGATTAAATATTAGGATATTTTGTTGTATTCTCTGCTTCGCCAGATTCTGCACCGAAATCTCTATCATTGTCAATTTTGAAGTTTTTTACATTTTTCAGTTCGGTGTATATGTCTGGCTTCCTTTAAATTATGTTGCTCTGGGGACATTCTTATGGAGGCTCTATTTAATAATAAAAGCATTTATTGCCCAACAGTTTCCCATTTAAAAGGCAAATTTAACAATATAAAATTAAACTAAGAAAATACATAAGATAAGTAAATAAATTATAATAAAAGTAAAAAAGTAGAAAATAGTAAAAAATTAATATGCAACGGCCAGGACTGCAGCCTTCATGTTCATCAATATTGTGATGTTTTAGGTGTGCACTTCCTAAAAATATTGTTCTGTAAAAATATATTTATTGTTAAACAGAAAAACTTACCTCTTTTTGCACAATTTTTATTTTGTATTGCACTTTTATGGAAGAATTATAAACGTGCTCCGCATTTAATTTATATAGTGTTACTTTTTATCATTTTACTTTACCATAAAGAAACTACAATTTATGGATATGCGCATTAATATGAAACTAAACTACAAAACTAGCCTACAATTATTTCCGTGTCTTCTCATGTCTATGTTTGCATAAAATATTCGTATGCTACATGATCGATGTACTTTAATGTTTCCTTCATGTTTACCTGTATCACAGCAGTATTATCAGAGACAACTTCTGATATTATTAATTATCTGGTATTATGTTAGGTTATGGTATGGTGGTTTCTACGTGTTTGGGTAGTTTACCCATTGAACTGGAATGTGTACCCAAACCCAAGGTCATGTTAAAATATACTCAGTAGAGCAGGAAATATGAATACCGAATCATTGTGCCCCATGTATCAGATCCTACCTTCCCTATGTAAATTCTCATTTTATGAGTTTGTGTGAACATATATTGTTCAAATAAATATGTTTTCATTTTGATGGTTTTAAATTAATTCTAGAAAGATGTTTACAAAACCATGAGAATCTTTACACCTCATTAAAAATAGGCTAAAACCTGTTTTGCAAAACATATTTAAAAAACTAATGCCATTTAAAATGATTCGATATGTGTCGTTTACATTTGGCGTGGAGTCATGTGGTCTGCTCCAGACGCTCGTCGCAAATGAATCCATACAATTTTGTTTATATTTAAATTTTTGAATCTTTTGTAAGTATTGAACATGAATTTTGGATTTGTGAAAACAGATTTGGCTAATTTAAAAACTTCAAATAAGACACGACAACTAGAACAAAAATACAAAGCACTAAAACTATCTATGCATTAGGAGAAAAAAACACAAACGTTTTAAAAATATTCGACATCGAGGTATATTTGGCACTGTTGTAACAATGTGTAGTTATTCTATAGGTTGATTTTTAGCGGGAAATTTCATCAATAATGGTTCTTTAATTCCAATTTTCTTCTAAATACTTACATGAATGAATCAATGTTTTCTTGTAATAATAAACACTATTATTGATTGTTTCTAAATAAATAGGATTAAACATTCCGATGCGTTGTTATAGTCCATTGCAAATACAATATTTTTAAAAGTCAAATAAATTATTTAAAGTTTTTTTTTAAACGTCTTATTTGAATGGTTATTTATTGTAAGTGAAAGAGATAATGAATAAAATTGTTTTAGGTTGAAATAAATATATAGATTTTTGCAAGAGTTTTAACGAACTCCAAAATGGAACTCGTGTCAAAAAAGTAAAGAGCAAAGAGCCCAATTATTATTTTTACACGTCTGCTCAAGATGGATGCAACGCACGACTCATTAGGGAAATAATTGGTAGGTAAAGTTCGTTCTTGATTCAAATAGGCTCTTACTCCATCTTACTTTATAATAAAAACTATATTCAAACGTAAGATTAATAAAGGAATACCGTCAATATATTACTAACGTTATATAGTTTAGACGTGCTTACCTCCTAAAAGTATTAAAAAAATAGTTCTTGATTTTCTTTAAGCTAACAGGTCCTCCTACAAGACTAGCATACTGTTCGTTAGTTTCTGCATAACTTGTTGTTAAAGGTGAAACATAAATGGGGTAACCAATTGGTTGATCACAGGACGAATTTATAATATTCCTAAGTGCCTGTTTGGCATTTTGTATACTTCCTCGCTCCGGATTTCTGTTTCTGAAATAAACTAGTTCTTGTTGCTGGCCAGCCCATAAACCTCGAACACATTCTTTATTGAGTTTAATAACACGAAAACTCAGATATCGTTTATTCAACATAATTATTTTATATTCGTCGTTGCCTTCATCTAATACATGTCTAGAAGAAAAGAAAATAAAAGTATGTTATGTAAAAAAATCCAAATTATAGATACCAAATTCATTTAGATAAGTTTTTAATAAATAACCACAGGGGGTCTTTAACAATACTCACATCGCTAAAATGACCAAAATGACATATCAGCAGCTGGTGAAAACCAAAGTAAAAATACCTACATGCGAATCAGTGCTGTAGATATTTTTATACAAAATACAATTCTTTAATTTTTAAGATCTGTGATCATGAGAACGAAATACAGTGAAATGTGAGAATAACGTAACAAAAAAATAACACCCAGTAGATTTTTAGAATTTTTAAATGTAGTGAAAAATCGGGTTAAAGTTCCGAAAAACTATTGTTTATTGATCCGAAAATAACAACATTCAATTGGGGAGTGGGTTGACTCAGTGGTTAGAGTCATGACTATGAGATCAAAGGTTCTTAGGTTCGAACCCCGCCAATGAAAGGATTTTCATTTAATTTAATGCATATGTAGTATTCTCCACTCGATTCCTCACTGTTCGGTTCTAACACTAGGCCTAGCAGTTGATGTCGACGACAAAAAAAAAACATTCAATTTATTTTTACTTTGGGGGTTGAAAAAATAGTTTTCATTATTTCGTTGGTGTAATTATGAAAAAAAAAAAACTAATTTATTTGAGGACTTGTATAAAAGAAAGTACATTATTTCCACCTACTTGTAAATATGTACTTACCTGATTATAATATAAATGAGTTTAGGGAAACTTCTGGAAATTTCTTTAAAAACATAAATTTTTTCAAAGGACCATGTAATTCTGGATAATTTTTATAAAACCTAAGAAGTACCAGAGATATTACTTGGGGAAAACCGACTTTTGAGAGATTTGAAAATTTATTTGCAATTAGTACTAACTATATACGAGTTTAATAATAGATTTCGGAACGTTATCCTTTCTAATATATGAGTCACGACATAAATAGTGATGTTTTTCAAGTCTGTACATTATTTATTATAAGCCCCTCTACCATTAACAGTTCAGTCCCTTAAAGAAACTGAGTTTTTTAAAATGGCAAACTTAAATATCTAAAGAGGAAATTTTATAAATATACCCAGGCAGCACACATTAGTATAACTAACGTATTTTATACGTAATACTCGTTTAATTTTGGTATTGGTTGATTCCGTATACGTTTACAGTTTACGATTATTATACATACGGTGTTTTAAACGATATAGTATACGTTTTTTATATACATCCTATGGTATATAATTGTAAATTTTTCTACGTTTAAATATAGTTAACAATATACGACTATTTTTAGTTTGCGATGAACTATTTATATACCGTGGGCCTAAATATACGTTTAGGTTTATTTAAATTAAATTCGTATAAATTTACATTATATTACAATATGTTTTCTTCGTTTATAATTCCCGTTTAAATTTCGTCTTGGTTGATTTTTTAAACGTTTACCATCTACCATTTTTATACTTAACGTTCTTTAACAGATAAATTAAACGCTTTTGTTTGTCGATACTAGTTAATATACCTATATTATTCTACGTTTAAATATAAGTCACCTTAATCGTATAATACCAGTTTACGATGAACTAGTAGACAGAAGTAAATAATATGTATATATTTAGGTTTATTTAAATTAACAGCTTATAGATATATTTATTTACATTACATCCATATTTTTTTAATTATATTACCTGTAATATTTATAACAAATTCCCCATACACATGGAACTATTTTTAGATGGCGGATGGAGGATGACGTACTAGTGATACGGTCGGTCTTTTCTCATTCCTACTCATGCGTATGTGTAGTATTATAGTTTAGTGTAGGGAATGGTTTGTGGAAGCAGGTTCATCGGTTGGCCCATTTTAATTTGTGTACACGTTTTGTTACATGTTGCTTTGGCGTCCTGGCTTTTACGATATTTATTAAAAGCATAGGTAAGTTTCTATTAATGTTTTAATTTAGCTACTCCTTTAATAATTGTTGCATTTTACAACAAATACTGTTTTATAGGTACGTACAGTGTGTTAAAAGCTTATAGAAACTTCAAAACCTAACCTTACTTTTGTATCTTTTATTTTTATACGTATTTTTTAGGTTACCTAGTTATTCCAAGCATACTTATTTTCCTTTTTTTTTGGTCAGTTGTTTTTTATTTAATAAAATGTCTAAAATAACCCTGTCTCTGCGTCATCTACGTAGAAAAATAGCGCAAAATGTTCAAGATGCTTTAAAGTCAAATCAATTTTTTTTTATTCCCAATGAAGATAATATTAAAAAGGCTTCGGACATTAATATATCATCTGATTCTATTATTTATAATAATTTCCAAGAAAATAATACAAATTTAACTTCGGAGTTTTTAGAAAATATTTCACCTGAAATTTAGTTAAATTTTGGTTATAGAAATGGGGGTGAACCAAGCGACTTGACCGACCGATTAGGTGTGCCATGCAAGATTAGCTTAAGTTAGCTAAGGCCCGTCTAGGACACAACACATCCAAAGTGTTAAGCTAAGATTTTTATTTTCATATATATTTGTTAGTTAAAGAAAAGTTTCGTTTAGTTTGTTATTCAGTATTTTAGTGTTTATTTTTTTGTATTTATTTATTTTTTAGTATTTTATTGTTTACTTTTTTTTTAATTAAATATTGTTCTGTACATATAAGTGATCAAAATTTTTTTCTAAATATTTAGGCTAATTACAACCAAAATAGAAACACGAGTAATGCCTATTTCTGGTGTATACACGCCTGCTATGGATAAAATCCAAACTATCATTTAAGAAATATTAACATTTTTCCATGGTCTCTTTTAGAAATTTTGTTTTGATCACTTTATTTAAATTGTGTTTGAAATACATTTAAAACAATATCAGGTAGACGCATTTTACACATTAATAAAAATCATACAAATATATCTAATATAGACGTATAGTAAAACAGGATAATTAAAGGTAGATAAAGTAATGTTAGACGTATAAAAAATAAAAAAATATACGTTTATAGGGCGGACATTTTCACGTATATATTGGGTGGCATATCAACAGTATCCATACGTATATTGTAGTACATAAATTATACCAAAGTGAATTCGTATAAATATACTACAACTATAAATCTAATATAGACGTATAGTAAAAACGTTTAATTATAGGTGGATAAATTCTTAGTAATCGACGTTTATTAGGCGGACATTTTCACGAATATATTTGGTAGTACATCAACCGTATTCATACGTATGGTAGTACCTAAAAAAATACGTAATTTATACCAAAGTGTGCTGCCTGGGTAATTATTAAAAAAAATATTATACCTTAAAGCTAATAAACTAGGCGCACCACTCAAAACTCCTTGTCTCCAAGCTGGATCTCCTTCATGTGATATTACCAACTCATCTTCATGTTTACATATAGCATCATATAATGTGGGAAGTTCTTCATACTCTTCGGGAGACATGAAGTGATCTTGATGTAATTTTAGAGACATTTTAATACCTGGAGCAACAACGCATTTTAATAGATCCATATCTGTAAAAATCCACTCATCCCTAGCACACGATATTCGAAAGTCTCCCTTGAAGAGAGCATGAAGACCGTAAAGAAAATATTCAACTCCAGAAACAGTATTATGTGAAACGGCCCCCAAAGTTCTCCTTGCTGAAAAAAAGAAAAAAGACTGTTCTTTTTAACAAGTATTAAAAATTAAAAATTTAAAAAAACAGACTTCAAAAACGTGCAGATGCCGTCACCACATCTTAATCAAATTTATAAGAAACCACCCCTGAGGTACCGCCTTACTAACAAAAAAAATCATATGAATCGGACAAGGTAGTAAAGCATTATCGCTAAACATACATAAAAAATGAAGAATTTGAGGATTTTGTCATGGATCCATTTATTAGATTTTGACCAAATTTATATGGGACCACCCCTGAACTATCCTCTTTCTAACAAAAAAAGAATCATTGAGATCGGACACCGTGTTAAAGAATGATCGCTGAACATACATAAAAAAAAATACCGCGACGAATTGATAACCTCCTCCTTTTTTGAAGTCGGTTAAAAAGGAATGAAATGACACTTCCGCTGTAATTATTTATTCACGAGATTACTTTAATGCAAGATTGTTTTTCAGTATTCACTATTGGTTATGTAATGAGTTTTATTTTTAAATGAGTGAATGAATATAACTCACCTAGTAAACTCAGCGCAAAGCACAAGAGAATCAATGGAGAGTTTAACCCAGTCTCAATATTCTTTCCAGATCTTTCAACACAATACTTTATCCAGTCTCCATGTATATTCATAAAACTATTGCGTGTGATTCCAGAATTAGTCAAATCAAAATCTTCGTCAATATTATAATTAAAAATAGGATCCAAATCTACGAAAGTCTTGTTCTCCATGGGCGATAAAGCTTTTGAAATAGTTGGATTGAATAACCACTCTTCTAATTTTGAAGATCGTAACAAATAAAATATTATACTCTGAAAATTAAACATTTTTTAGATGGCTACAGCGGAGTTTACATCGTTATCTGCAGCTAAGCAGTAACCCCAGTTAATACTAACTACTAGGGAAAACACCGTAAGTAAAAGCTAAAAAGCAGCGGCATAGTAGCATATTTACATAATACGTTGAAACAAAATGTTATAATTTTTTTTATTAAACATAAATAAGAGTATTGAATATTCGTTTATGAAGTTTTAATTAAGTATGAAGCTATTATTATAAAGCACTTGTAGGTAAATTAAATTTTATCCTGTAATTGGACCACTGCACTGGTCCTTTTGGATAATAAAAGATTTTTTATATCGTTAGCAGATGCTATATCAAATAATATAATCTTTAGGAGAAGACATAAAATTGTAGGCCTTGAGTACATAGATGCTGGGCTTGTTAAATATCTCTATCAACCATATTCCAAAGAAATAGTATAGAAAGCAAATTCCATACATCAAAAGTGAAACCATAAGGAGCAAATTATCGGAGCGCATGCACATAACGGTGCCGATTTGGACAGGACCGGCTTAAGTTTTATATTGATCGAATACATAAATGAACATACATGATATTTCAGGTTAGCAGTCATACATTTTTAGAGATATTTCTATACAAAAAAGTTCAAGTAAACATAGTTCTGAAAGTCCTTGTTAAGGGCGGCGTCTAGCTATATCTCGAAAACTGTTTATCTAGACAACTTCGCATTTTTTTACACAATCGTTAAAGGAAAATACTTAAAAATGTTTTTAACTTTGTAACGTTTCGCTATGTCACGTGACTTATGACATAAAATATAATTGTGTCTTTATAAAAAGAAGAATATATATAAAAATATAATTTTAAGCCTAGCTTTCAAGAAAAATCCTAAATAAGGCAATGATCAAATGTGGTTTAGACCCCAAAAGTCAAAATAATTTTTCGAGTACCTACTTTAAAACAACTCCGTTTCTTATATCTCTTTAAACCCCCCTAGGCATATTTCATGAACGATTTTTAATATTAAAATTAATGCCAGGAAGAATATTTTTCCCGAAAGCTACTTTAAAGCCAACCGCGCAGATTTCTATGGGCGAACGCCAACCTTAAGAGAGATGACATAAAATTTGAATTAGTATTAATATTTTAGCAAACATTAGTGCTATAGTAACGGGAAATTTCCTGTGATCTGACATCTTAGATGGTTCTGATTTAGTGATATTTGCTACATGTAAATTTAAGGAGGGAAGTTGCGTTTTATCCCCTTATCAAAATTATGCGCAATAGCTTTTTAAATTTTGTCAGCAGTTATGATTCCTGTCTTACAATTACACAGAAAACCCTTCATGTTACTATTTTCATTTATTTGAAGATGGAATCTGCATCTATCGAGATACAAATTAAAAATACTTCTGCTACATTTTCTTAAAAATTGTTACTTCTTTTTAGTACATATTTTGTAAAACAATTTAATTAAAGTTTTATAGTTTTCAGTCGATATTTTAACAGTACTGGAAGCATAGTAGATTTGTGATCGAGCCGGAGTAATAAATCTATCAGATCAGGAAATTTCAGGTGTGGGTGCCTATATTATTATTTATGGGGTACATAAAATCATCATTTAAAAATATATTTTTTTGAATATGTATTATTGAGTATTATTTCGGTATGTAGGTACTTTACAAAATGTTTTTGAGTTATTTTCAATTGTTATGTAAATGGTAGACTTATCTGTTTGAGTAAATTAACAACAAGGTATATAACAAATATTTTTCAAGACCTATAAATTTGAATGTTAGGTATACCTACATTAAATTGTTTAAATCGTTATTCATCTTTGACTTCTTGGAAATTTTTGATGTCAAAAATCTATAATCTAAGGGTTAATCGTTATTTTATCATCTTCTTGGGGATTACTAATGTCATGGAAAAACCAAAATGATAACAAGGGGTGGGATTATAAGATGGTTACCTACCTAGGATTTGGTATGAAGATAAGATAAGCAGTTGCAGTTAGTATCTTGATCAGTTCCCAATATTAACTACCCTGTTTGATTAGCCTTCTATATTATCTTTTATAGTAAGAAGTTATGGTTATTTTTGGTTAATAGTGACAGTAGTATTAAAAAATGCAGTGTGGTTCAAGTTCAAAGTTTACACCTGTGAAAAGTATAAAAAGTGTGCATTGTAAGTTAACGAGAAAATATTTGTAAGCAATGTTTATAATTCCTTAGAATGGAAAATCCTTCGTTTTCTGTTTACGATACTGTTGAAAAGACAAGTAATATGATAGGTGTAAGCAAATCAACGATATATAAAGTTAGAAGTGACTTAAAAAGAGGAGTTGTCAAACCACCAAAGAAAAATGCAGGAGGTAAGAAAAAAGTGGAATTTACTGAACACATTAAAAGCGGAATAAGAAAAGTTCATGAATTTTATTTTAAAAAAGAGATACCAACACTTGCCAAGGTTTTGGACGCAATCAATAGTGATCCATATTTTCCTAAAATGGGAAAGACAAAACTACGAGAAACTCTAATAGATTTGAAGTTCAAGTGGGATAAACAGGACAGGAAAGCAGCACTTATTGATTCTGGGGAAATACCTCAGAACCATTTTTAAATTACGTGCAGAAGGCAAAAAAATATTTTATTTGGACAAAACCTGGGTGAATAAAGGTTACACAGTTAGCAAAATGTAGTAGGACACAAACATTCAACCTTTTTTGGAAAGATTATCTACAGGATTTAATGTTCCTTCCGGTAAAGGACGACGTCTAATTATAACTCATATTGGAAAATAAAAAACCGAAGGAGACTACCATGAAGATACGAACGATAATGTTTTTGAAGAATATTTTCAGCAGATGATAAAACATTTACCAAAGGGTTCAGTTATAGTAACGGATAACGCTAGTTACCATTCCCGTCTATTTGAACGTGTGCCAAATACTTCATGGAAGAAAGATAATATCATTAAGTGGCTAACAGACAGAAACATTAACTTTCCAGAAAAATCAATAAAAATAGAATTACTAGAAATTGTGAAATTAATTATTAAGCCTCCAGTACCTTATGTAGTGGATGAATATGCAAAACACATGGTATTGATGTTGTGCGTCTTCCTCCCTATCACTGCAAACTAAATCCTATTGGACTGATATGGGCACAAGTTAAAGGATATGTAGGACGACATTTAAGTTAAAAAATGTAGAAGCATTGTTAGAAACCTTCATATCACTTGTTACGAAGGAAAATTGGCAAAAGGCAAACGAGCATGTGTTAAAAGAATAAGAAAACATGTACAATCTGTACAAAATCTTGTATGTTGATATTATAGTACTATATTTAATAATAGCAGTAAATAATAACGCATCAAGTGAATATAGTGATTCAGAGACTTCACGAATCCTGATCTTCGAGAGTAGGTAAGCATATCTATTTTATATCTAAATGTTATAATCATAGCACCCCGGCGGTTAAATTACAATTATTTAAGTTTAAAATAGTAACAAAAAAAATAATACAAACAAATACACCCTAATTTACCAAACCGGGCGCTCATCGGTCTTAAAATAAGGGTAGCCTATTGTTTATGTGTCAATCGATTTAGGACTATTGTAGTGTACAAATAAAAAAGTTATGCAATTAATTGTTGTAATTTTTTACAAACAAAAAATAATCTTTATTAGTTTATTACCTTAACATAGTAAGACACCAGTACTTTTCGAAATTCAAATACTTGTAACATGGATGCTGCACTATTATCAGAAATGCTGTACCCTTCCAAAATGTATTTAGCAGCCAATACTTCCCATGCTAACCATCTTTGATTAAAAGCTGCATTTATGCTAAGTATGTTAGGCAAATGGCCAGTTTCACAGCAACAGCAACCTAAAATATAAAAAATATATATTATACATACTATCATATTTTCTGAATTATATTTTTCCCAATCACAGCTCCTTATAAAATGAAACTGTTTGATGAAGGTGAACACGCCCAATAAAAAGATATAATACCTTTTTAATACACTCGTGTTCCAATAATATTTTCTAGTTGCCTAGGAAATGTTTGAGGATTTAAAAAGGGAGATACAATTTACAATCGTATTATATATTATAAATTTATTATTTCGTGTTGACTTCTGTAAAAAAACATGAAACGTGTCATGTTCACATAGATGACATCATCATAAAACATTTAAGCCCACATAGGCATAAATAAATATAGTAGATGAAATTATTTTCAACACCGTTCACAAAATAATTTTTCAAAAAGTTTGCCTGATAGATGATTGTATGCTTTGAAGATATTTATTATACCTAAAAGATATATTTAAATTGAAGAAACGCATATTTATTAAATTAAATATATACCATAAATCTGACTTACCATCATTCTCTTCTACTCCTTCTGTAATTGCTTCAACCTCTCTCTGTTGACAGTATGTACCTCTAAATTCCAAACCTCTCATTTGAAATGTCATAATATCATTTCCCATCTCAATAATATGGACAAGGCAATTTAAATAATCGGAAGCCAAAACAAAACAATCTCCCTGATTCACAACACCCCATCTACCCATTTTAAGGTCGCCACATAAGGAATGTTGTAGAGATCTGGTGAGATGTTCATAAAATAAAGAGTTGAGGTTATTATCGTCAGCCCCAAAGTTTCGGTCAAGGTGGGATGATAGAGGTGTATTTGAGTGATCAACTCTTCTTGTATTGTAATCTCTTTCCCAAAATTTAATGGGTCGCACATAGGACATTATAAAAATAACACTACCCAGGAAAGGATTAAGTGGCATCGAAAGACATGAAGTCAATAAAGCTTGAAGAAATAGCATCGCTGAGTGAGGTACAGAAAAAGGTTGAGCAAAAGCATGGAAAGCTGATCCCCAAGTGATCTGCCAGGGTGCTATATATGTGACAACAAATTGAATCTGAAAAACAATATAAAGTTAGAACGAAGGATTTGTTTGCAGGTAATAAATTAGAAAAGAAACAAACGTAGTCAATTTTATTAAAGTTGATGGATGATTTCACTCAACTCAAACATTATATTACTTCACTTCCATTATGTAAAATCAGAGAGTTTTTAGTTTTCAAAAATTGAATCTACAAATTTTTGTAAGTTAAAACCGTTAAAACCACATGACACATTAAAAAATAAGTAATTACTGTATTTTCTTTTCTTTTTTATATTAAAATAAACAGAAAAACACATTTTGTCTGGTTTTACCAATATTTTATTTATAAAGTACTTAATAGTTACTTATTTTATTTATAGAAATCTTTAATTAAACATAATATTAGTGCAAGCATATCTTGAAATCAGTAATAGAGACTTAACACGTTAACTGCCATGTGTACCATTTCTAGACAGAGCTCATTTAAACTGTGCGCCATATGTACCTTAGGAGGACACATGCATTATAAGTTTCTAGGCCATGTGTACATGCGACGACCGTACTTAGCGTTGATTTAAATGCATGTATCGTTCGGTCTGGCGTGGGAGTGTAGGTACTATATAGTAATTGACTACGAGTTTAAAAAAAAAAATTGTAATACAACAAAAAATAAACCTTGAACATTTTTATTTATACAAAAAATAAAGATTATAGAAAAATGTTTATTTTTGTTTATTTATAAGTACATAGGTCAACTAAATGAAAAATTCCCAAAGTTTTACAAAACCTAGATATAATGCACAAAAACATAAAACTTATACTGTGTTCACGCGCCGTGTGTTCCAAAAATGCACACAGCTGTTTAAAAAAAAAAACACTTTTTGTATTTTTTTAAGTTTCTTAGTAATTTTTAGTCAGTATTAAACCACTTTGTAAAAAAAACTTGCGTGACCCACAGGATCCGGTACAAATTTTTTCCATAAGTGGCTTGGTAGTAAACGTGTTAAGGAATGAAGAATGTTATATTGGTACATATCTTTTATCAAATCAAAATATATCTAATATTTTTATAAAATTGAAAATTAATACTCACCTTTAACAATAATTCGTACATCTTATTGAAAACAGTAATCATAAAAAAATATATAACCAAAAACGTTTCATCCATATTTCTGTAATCATATTTAAAACATAAAGCTGAAAAGACTAGAATCAAATATTGCGAACTTTGGTTTGAATAACTGCTTCTTAGGCACTTTATTCCACATATCACAACAATAAAGGAGCCTCTAAGAGTTCCATATTTGGTTACTATACGAGGCGAATCTTCGGTCAACACGGAAAGAAACAATAGAGGGTAAAGAATATTTCTCTCCAAAAAAGAGAAATAGACGTAAATCTGAAAACAAAATGTATGTAGTTTAGTTTCAACTTTAAAATTAAAACTAATTAATTTAATAACTTTAAACTCCTTGAACACAGTACACCACTCTAAACTGATCACTAATTGCGGGATTGTAAATGAAACGAATGTCGAATATTAAAGGTGCAGTGGTGTAAATGTGTTCAGCTAGTTTGAATTAAACCAAATGTCTCATACTTCCAACTTTGCTAATAAGCTTAAATTTTTTGACATTGGGTTACAGACTACTCACACCAGATGTGAAAGTAGACAAAGAACATGAAAAAAAAAATGAATGGCAATACTAATTTAACCCTTTCAATGCCCACTGTGCTTGAGCATTTACGCCTCTGGCCCACTTATTCCAAATGCCTAAATATGATATTCGTATTATTAATGCCTGATCCTAAATAACTACAGAGTAATGTTATAAAAGAAAGTCATCTAGATCACAAATGTTGATATTTTATTCTGTTAAAACTAAATACATTTTAAAATAAATTGTTGGTGAAAGACAAAGTCCAGGTTGATCATCAAAAGCTGGACAATAAAATTGAAAATATTTTCTCAACTCGTGGATTTCAAAACAATTTTTACGATTTCAACGTTTTATTCTATTTCGACTATTTCTTTCACAGTGGACAGGAAAATAATTTTGGCGTATTCTCGCAAAACGAGGTCTAGGAGGTATCTGCGGTATTTGTAAATTCTCTATTATTTTCAAACGAAAATCATACAAGGACATTTTATTTTGACTATTAGCGTTATAAAGTGTGTGGTTGTTGAACAAATAGACTTGTTAAATATGAATGTCAAGTTTTTTGTACCACCGAAGAGTTTTATGATCACTAGGATAGTAGGCTAGCATTTGGTCTTTCCCCCCATATTTTTGTTATATTCTGCTATAAAACGAGGCTTCGGTAGTACATTTCCTCTTCTAACCTGGACATTATTCATATCCCAACTATGTTTACTGGACAGAGCCATTACTTCTTTCTTGTCCTTCCACTTAGTTATACCTATTATATTTTACTACATTTTCTCCTACTCTGAGTTTTTTTCTGACTATCTGAGGCGGATTACCTTTTTTATTTGATCTCAATGTTCCAGTGCAATAAGTATTGCGTTCTAATAGTGTTTTAACCAAGTTTACAATATTATAAAAGTTGTTCATATAAACAGAATATCCTTGTTCTAAGTACGGTTCTAACAATTTCATAACTACTTTATCTACATGCCCTGTGCCCCCCATTGCAGTATCTGTTGCACCACCATACAAAATAAATTTCTAAACCAGTTTGGACGGTTCTGACAATATATACAACTTCAAACCATACCTATGCCCATTTCATTTCATATATTGACGAAAATGTAGTCGTCCTTTCCAGCCAACCATTTGTTCATCAATACTCAAATTTTGTAAAAGGTAATGAATCTCGTCCATCTTATGATTGAAAAAATCAATAAAATTATTTATTTTATACGTAGTATTTGGCGGATTGTCATTTTCTTCAAGGTGTGGAGCGAATTGTAAATTACGTAATATTAGTTGAAACCTATTTCTGGATATTGTTTCTTGAAAGATAGCAATATTAAATAAGGAAGTGTCTTCCAATAATCAAATATTCTATTTATTTTGACTGTGCCCAGATGAAAAAGCAGTACTAAAAATGTTTTCCTCTATAGAGAGTTCGTGTCATCGTGACATTCTTGAATTTTCTGTTGATCCTTGTAAAAAAAACTGAACTGCATATTCGTTTGTATTTCTTAAAATCAAATCAAAGAGATTAGCAGTAAAAAAACAAATTGAAAAAGTCAATGGGGTGTTGTTCTACATGTTAATTTTCAGACCAGAATTTCCGGTAAATGGAATTTTTGATATATTAGGTCTCCGATCAAACCAAGTATTACCAAGTAAATCTACTGGTTGTTCATCTTCTTCTGATTCATTGTTCTCGATATCAGTATCTTCCGACTCGTCTGAATTTTCAACTAAGCTTATTTCATCATCAGATTTTTCTATCTCAGTTTGATTATCACTATTTAGTGAGAACACCGTAATATTTGGGTTGATATTTTCCTCATCGAAAGATGATTATTCATTCTTTTTTGAAAAACGGGGTTTTTTAGAAGGAATTCGAGAGGTAGAAGGCTGAAATTCCATACCTAAAAATAATGATTTGATAACTGCAGTGCAATTCCATAAACCGGTCGTATGTCATGTAATCAAAGGTATAGGTAATTGCATAATCCTTAAAAAAATCTTTTAATAAATTGATATTCTGTTCATATTTATTGTTTTACTACTATTAGTTCACCCCCGGTACGTGGTCGGAACAACAAATAAGCTTTCCAATCATGTAACACTCTACTACGTTGTAATATTATATAAACAACTTAATTCGTTTAACCTTTCCGGAACCGTGCTAAAAAAGTTACGTTTCAGGCCGTGTGGGGTAACTATGATACCCCACTGAAATACTTCAAGAATTGTTAAAATTTTGTCACTTATGTAAATTATGTATGATTGTTTGCAAAATTATATAATAGAACATTAATTATTCAGTTTATATATTTTTTACTGAAAAAAAAAAAAAACATTTTATTTGCGCTTAATCATTATTTTTGCAGTCAGGACATACATTTTTTTCTTTCTTCTACATGATATTTTTGTCTTTCTATCCCGTGATATGGCACAAAAGCAGCATCTTGGACTTGTCGAAGGTTCAATCTCTCTAATAAGATTTTCTGGAACTATGGCATTGCCTTCCGTAAGAAATAAATCTATTGCAGTTTTTACAGTTTTATGAAAATTACTGCTATTTTATTTCCTGTTTAGAACATTTGGGAGTGCAAGTTCTTGTGCCAAGTTTGGTAAAAAATCCTCCGCTTACTTCGGTTATTAATTTTCCAATTGGGAAACTTTTTAGTAAATATAATATAGGCATTGAGTGCCGCCATATCAATAATTTCCATAAAAATCCTAAAAAGCCATCTTCTAGTTGAACGAACACATGTATATTCTCTGGTTATTTTATCCCCAGTCTCCACTGCCCCTTTGGTTTTATTGTAGTGTAAAATAATTTCAGGCTTACGTTTTGCGTTTTCATCAGATGGTATTTCGTCGCTGTGAAATTGTGTTGATAAAAGAATAACTGCTTTCTTTTTTTAGGCACATAGGATACTAATGTAAAATCACTCGAAAATCCAATTCTTCGCGTACAGAATTAGGAACAAATTCGGCAGGAATCTCTCTTTTGTTAGCCCTTAGAGTTCCGGTTATTGTAAGTTTATGTCTTAGTAGTTCTTCAGCAAGAGAAATTGAGGTAAAAAAATTGTCTGTGGTAACTCCACGCCCCAATCCAAAATAAGGTCTAACCATATCTAAAACTACCCTAAAACCTTGATTCACTTCTCGTTGATTATTTATCATTCCAGTGTATACCTGACTGTTCAAAATACAAGCTGTACCAGTGTCCGAACAAATCCAAATTTTTATTCCATATCTGGTTTACTTTTTATATAAACTCTAAATGGGCAGTGTCCTCTGAATGTAGCTAATCTCTCATCAACTGTGATATTTTCGCCGGGTGAATAATTATCAATGCCATTTTTTTACAAATTGATCATATATGTATGCGAATTGCTTGAAGTTTATCTTTTGTATCCGTTATTCTATTTTTCCTTGTGGAGGGGTTATCAAATCTTAAGTTTTATATGTCATCTTGAATCTGTTTAAAGACATTGCAGCAGTAAAAAATGGTTGTTTGACAAGTTCATTTTCGGACCACATTTCCGACAAGTGAAGTTTTCTCCCGTGATTTTTACCACTTGCTATAAGAACTGCAATGAAAGCGTATAATTCAGCAATTGTAATAGTTTTCCAATTCATTTGGTCAGCAGGATGATATTCATTAAATTTTTCTGTATAGACTTCTCCTTGTCGATTAGTGTTAATGCATAATTATGTCAGCTAGCATATCTTTAGTTATATAACACTCGAACGCGTCTTTTATTGAAGTAAGAGCCATGCTAAAACGAATTTCTAATTTATCACAAGGCCTGTTTATTTTCAAAATGTATACTCATCTATTATTTTGTAAACCTTCAAGAGAATTTACTATATTATGAGCTCTGCCCCTTGTAGATGCAAGTGGTTGTGTTGTCCATTCATATCCTGATTTCGACTTTAGTATTTCCCCAACTGGCACAAAAGTTGCATTTTCCCCTTCATTTTCAAGTGCTGTAATTTCATTTAGAACTGTCTGTTGTTCTTCGACAGTGTCGGTATTTTCAGATTTACTATAACTTATCTTAATTTCATCACTACTATTGTCACTTTCCTGTCAAATTCTACGTAATTCCTCTTCAGTATAATATTTTTGTCGCGCCATTTCCTAAGAAATGCACACAATAACTTACTACTGCAAAGCAAAATAAATACTAACAGTAAACTGAGAATTTGTTTACGTACCTATTCGGCTGACGATGGCACGATCGAACAAATATTTGTGCGCGTAGGATTTCGATACGCCGCAGGCCGTGCGAGGTAGCGGAGGTACCCCACGTAATTAATTTCAGTTTTTAGTGGAAAATTAAAATTAAATCGAATATGTTTATTAAAAAAGGTTTTGGTAGTATATTCTCTAGGAATACGTAAAGGGAAAAAAATTAGAAAAAAAAATTGGAAAGTTATTTTAGAAAAACCGCATCTGGGGTACCTATAATACCCCGCACGGTCCCGGAAAGGTTAAAATATCTTGTCACACTTTTTAGCAACCCTGTATAAAAACGCAACTTCCTGTGAAAACAAACCGTCAAATTATGGTTATAATGTAGAACTAGATATTACATAATAAAAATGAACAAAAGAAATAATTATAAATCAAGACGTACCTTATATTTATTTTGCACAGAAATGAACTGTTCAAAAATTATACACAAAATATCACTATTATTAAATAATACAACCAATCACATCGAAACCTTCTCAGATG